TCGGTACTGGGGATCAAACTCAGGACCTTGTGCTTGTGAGGCAGGCAGTGGCACCACTGAGATAAATCCCTGGCCCATCTTCTTTAATTTCCTTCTGTGATATCTTATAGTGTTCAATGCACAAATCTTGAACTTTTGTAAAATGACTTTCTTTTTTTTTTTTTTTCCAGTATTGGGGGATTGAACTCAAGGCCTTCACATTGAGCACTTTTTTTTTTTTTGGTACCAGACCTCACACTTGCAAGGCCAGCAACAGAGCCACTGAGCTAAACCCCTGGCCCACAATGAAAACTTTAAAATTTTTTTTTACAAATTTTGAGACAGGGTCACTGAGTCACGAAATTGCCCAGGCTAGACTTAAATTTTCCATCTTTCAAAGCCAGACGTGGTAGTGCATGCCTGTAATCCCAGCACTTGGGAGGCTGAGGCAGGAAGATCGCCACAAGTTCGAGGCCAGCATGAGTTACACATAGTGAGTTCAGGGCCAGCCTGAACTACAAAGGGAGACCTTGCCTCAAAAAACAAAAACAAACAAAAAACCTGCCCTCCTTCTGACCCACCCACCAAAAATACTGGGATTATAGGCATGTGCCACTGTGCCTGCTACTTCTAAGTATATCATTATTATTATTATTTTCATTTTTCTTTTTGGTACTGGAATTGAACTTGGCCTTTGTGCTTTTGAGGCAGGCAGTAGAACCACTAGGCCAAATCCCCAGCCCCAGTTATTTTCTTTTTTATACTAGTATAAATAGAATCATTTTAAATTTTCTTTTTTTTGGTACCAGGGTTTGAACTCTGGACCTTATATTTGTGAGGCAGGCAGCAGCACCACTGAGCTAAATCCCTGGCCCTATGATTGATGTTTTTGTATTGATGTCATATTCTGCAACTTTGCTGAACTTGTTTATTGGTTCTAATAATTTCTTAGTATATTCCCTCTAGATCCGGAGATCATGTCATTTGTGATAAAGTTTTATTTCTTGCTTCCCAGCTTGGATACCGTTTCTTTTTCTTGCTTACTTGCCTTGCTAGAACCTCCAGGACAGCACTGAACAGAAGTCATAAGGGAGTAAATCCTGCTGCGCATGGCACATGTGTGTATTAGCAGCTACCCATGAGGCTAAGGCAGGTGTCTTCCAAGTGTGAGACCAGCCTGGGCAGCTAAGCCAGACCCTCCCTTGTAACAAAAGAACAAGGGTAGGAAGGGAAGCTCAGTTTGCCTAGCATGCGTGAGGCTCTAGGTACAATCTCCAAGACTGAAAATAAAAGTAGACATTCTTGCTTTGTTCCTGATCTTATAGAAGAAATATCTTGTGCTACACTATTAAGTAGGGTGTTAATTGTAGCCTTTCATAGACGCTCTTTGTCACATTGATGAAGTTGTCTTTTGTTTCTAGTTGGCTAAATGGTTTTATCATAAAGGGTGCTGGAGTTTGTAAAGTTTTTTTCTCACACTGTGCCTGCCTGGCAAGTGCAAGGTCCTGAGTTCAATTCCTGGTGCCAGAAAACAATTTTATTTTTTTTTTAAGTCTGTTGAAATGATCGTGTAGTTGCCTTTATTCAATCGATATAGTATGTTACATTAATTAATTGGTCTTTCAGTGCTAAGCAAAGCCTAGATTCCTGCTTTAATCCCTTTTGGACATGGTGAGATCTTTTTTGTATGTTGCTAGATTCTGTTTGTTAGTATTTTGTTTGTGATTTCTGTGTCTGTGTTAATAAGAGACATTGGTCAGAGTTTTCTTGTGATACCTTTTGTTTTGGTATTAGAATAAAATTGATATCATATTTGGAAGTGTTCCTTCCTATTTTATTTGTTACAAGAATTTGTGAAGGACTGGTGTTAATTCTTATTTCAATACACCAGTAAGGACAGATGGTTTTTCTTTGAGTAAGTTTTGGTAATCTGTTTTTCTTAGGTTGTCTGTTTTCATCTACATTACCTGTTTTTGTTGGCATGTTTGTTTAGAACCCTTATATTCCTTTTTATTTCTGTTTGGTCTGTAGTGATGTCCTCTCCTTCATTATTTATTTATTCAAACTTTTTGCAGTATTTTTTCCAGCTACATCCCCAGCCTTTTTTACTTTTTTTTTTTTTTTTTTAAGGCAGGGTCTCACTAACTTGCTGTGTTTCGTATTTTATATTTGTTTTTATTTTATATTTCTTTTATTCCTGCTCTAATCTTCCTTCTTCTTGATTGGAGTCTAGTAGGTTCTTCCTTTTTTGATTTTCTAAGATAGCTACAGTATTGATTTGAGATCTTTTTTCTTTTTTTTCAGTGTAAGCATTTGTATCTATAGATTTTCCCCTATGTGGGGATTTAGCTCAGTGGTTCCGCCGCCTGCCTCATAAGCGCAAGGTCCCAAGCTCGATCCCTGGTACCAAAAATGTTTTTAATTTAAAAAAATTCCCTCTTTTTCACTGCTATAGCTGCACCCCATAAATTCCAGTGGTTGTATTTTTTTTCATTTAAACTATTTTCTTATTGCCCTTGCAATATCTTATTTGAATTATTAGAGGTATATGGTTTAATTTTTATATATCTGTGAATTTCCCAAGTTTAGTCCTGCTGTTGATTTCTAATTTGATGTGTCATGGCTGAACGTACTTTGTCTGATTTGAATCCTTTTCACCTACTGTAGCCGGTGATGTGGCCAGCCTCCTGGTCTATTCTGGAGACTGTTCTGTATGCACTTTAGAGAATGTATGCTATGCTACTGAGTGTTCTTTGGTGTTATTTGATTTATACTCTTGCTCAAGTGCTTATCTCTTTATTGTCTTTCTGCCTGTCTGAATACTGTAATTCTTTTTTTTTTTTTTTTTTTTTTTTTTTTTTTTATTTGTTTTTTTTTTTTTTTTTTTTTTTTTTTTTTTTTTTTTTTTTTTTAATGGTACCAGGGATCAAACTCAGGGCCTTTCTCTTGTGAGGCAGGTGCAGTGCCACTGAGCTAAATCCTGGCCCTGAATACTATAACTGTAAGACTCAGTCTAAGATAGTCGGTCAGGGGTCCAGGGATATAGCTCAGCATTTCAGTGCCTGCCTTGCAAGTGCAAGGTCCTGAGTTTGTTCCCTGGTACCAGGAAAAAATAAATTTATCCAAAACAAACCCTTCGTGCTACCTGTTTTCCACTGTACAGTAAACCTGAATTCAGACTGTTACAGAGAAGGCAGGATTACCTCATTCCTGATGCTATGATTTGCCCTCAGCAGGAACATAGAAGTCATGGCTGAGATACCCTCCCAAAGGCCATAATTCCGGATTAAAGGAGGCTTTGTGGATGTCATTGTTTCTAAGTGTCGCTTTTTTCGGTGCTCTGAAGCTGTTTCACTGCAGGGCAATTTGTTAGAATAAACT